GTATACAAAACTGGAAATAGGCTAAGTAAACATGGTATAATATATATAACCAAATAAATAAGAAACGTAGAAAGTTTATTAGCAAAACAGATAAGAAAGCTTGGAGGCACGGCATACACCTTGATGTAAAAAAAAAAAAATAAATGACACAAAGTTTAAATAAAATAAAAATCAGCAAACAATGTGGAACCAATTAAATAAGAAACGAATGTTTAAAAAAACTTCCAAAATCACCTTAGATAAACAGCAAAAGTCAACAGGCTTTTCAAAATCCAAAATATTGCCAAACAGGCGCTTTTACATCTCGTTTCGAAACTAAATCCGTTCAGTTTTTAATTGTAGTGTCTGTTCTTTTAGTTAACTAAATTATTTTTATTACTATAAAAAATCAAAACGACGTTGGGGGTCGGTGCCGCGGTGGGCAAGTGACGTAACCGGTGTTGCGGCTTAACACTGGTATCACCGTCAGCACCGTCTATCGCGGCAAGCCTACTATTTACCTTCCATTTCCATGTGATGAAAGAATCCAAATTAATTACAGCAATCTGTTTTTTTACATTCAGTTTTTACACAATTGCAATTAATTTATATTGATAACACCAAACTAAACATGCAACATGAGGTTGTGTGACAAAAAATGTTGAATGCATACAAAGTGCTCTGTAAGCTAGTATTCCATTGCACACATAGCAATGAGACAAAACCAGCATTCAGCCAAGCCTGTATTTACATTAGAATTTATTGAAAAAAACATGATCATAGATGAGGACATAAAGTAAAATTTGACTAAACATATTGAGGCTGAATTATAATTAGCTGAATATATGATATTCATCTCAGTGCGCCCTCATTATCCTCACCCCATTTATTTCCGTCACCGTGCAACAGAAAATTAAAGAAAGAAAAACTCAAATCACAAAAACAAACAATATACATTCAAAAATGTCTGTAAAGGTGACAATTCTGCAGCTTTCAAACAAGTGTTAACTTTTCTCTAAAACTCTTGATACTGAAAAGCAATACTGAAATGTATTTCCTTCATTCCACTCTACACATTTAATTGCACATTTTAGATCAAACAGTGCTGTAAGAATCTCAAAAAAACCTTGAGATGCACATTTAGATGTACTGGCTTCTGAAAAGACGAGCTCTGAACAGTGTAAAACATGCATTTCTGCGGTACAGAACTGAAATCACACACAGGCAGACGAGACATTCTTCAACACTAAGAGCATGGATATTTAGCAAGGCAATGTTCGAGCTGACAAGACTATTTTTGATGAGCGGCAACGATGGGAATTCTGCATATGTGTTTCCCTGGAATTTCTGCTATGACTGTACTGATGCTCATGAGTAATCATACACATTTCTTAACACTTTAAATTATTTTTACATATAATCCATGGCTTGGCATGCCTCTTAAACTGATTTTATAAACAGGTCTGTTTTATGATCAAATCACACTAGTAATATTTAATGGAATTTTTTTTTATAATTATCAGCAGCAGTATTAGGAGTATTCAACTTGAACTTCAAACACAACTTTACCAATTAATTCTACAATTAAACCTTACATTTAAATAAAAATGGGATTAATCAATGGATTAACAATTAATTAAATACTGCACATTAATTATGACATTCTAGTTTTGTAATTAAATTAACCACACAAAAAAGCCCTATAATGAAGAGAACTGTGGCCGATGAAAAGCATGGAATTGACATTAAAAAAATGGCTTTGAAGTCAATATATTATTTATGTCCATGTCATTGAACATCATTGGTCTATTGTCCACAGCCTCATTATACAGTCAAAAACAATGTGGTACTATAAGCTTGAATTGCTCTGGAGGTAGGAAATTACAGCATTTACATACAAATTAGAAGAAATTATTAACTAATAATTTTTTAGTCTTACTTTTTTTATAATTAATCCCATTAAATTGACAAAACTAGTTCAGACGTTATTACGTTAAAGATCTTTGATTTTGAATACGTTCTGGTTCCAGTCCAATATGCAACATATTATTTGTCATCCATATTCTTCTTCTTTATTTATGCTTTACACCAGTGCACATTAGCCACTATCTGAGAGTGACGGTGGGGGAAAAATGCAAAACTAATGTTTGAGTGCTGTATGATTATGTAAATCACAGAACTGATGAATATGGAAGACCTCTCCATGTAAGAGGACAGAGTGAATCTCAAACACTTTAGTTAAAAGCCAGAGACGAGAACTAAATATAAAAGCAAATAGAAATGTCTGAAATCATATTCCTCTCACTCCCTAAAAAGACAAATGAAGGCAGGTGAACAAAGCAGTATTGTTGTTAACATTTCTGTCATAATCGAATCGGATTTAATATTATTATGGCTCCAGTTTTTCCCGTTCTGATATGGAACAGCCACTTCTCACAATTTAAACAATTTCTGATGGATACAATTAGGTTAAAGTCCTAAATATTTTTCTTACTGAAATTTCAGAGCTATATGTTTATGTTAATATTTTGAAAGCTGTTAAAAATAGTTTACAATGTATTTTACTTGGCATGTCAATTTTAAAAGTTTTTTTAAGGAACCAAAATGTGTAAAGAGGGGCTAGATTAATTACAATAATTGATGTAATTTATAAAGAAAAGTGGTTTTATTTATAAAAATAAAATAAAATAAAATAAGAAATGGAACTAAAAAATGAAATGTAATATTTAAAATAAAATTAAATAAAATAGTGAGACAAGAAGTTTAAATCAAAGTTAAAATACAATAAAATATTAAATTAAATACAACTTTAAATCTAACATTTAAAATCAAATCAAATAAAATAGTAAGACATGAAGTTAAATCAAAGTTAAAATACAATAAAATATTAAATGAAATAAAACAGTAAATCTAACATTTCAAATCAACTCAAATCAAATAGGAAAACGTGAAGTTAAATCAAATTTAAAAGTAATAAAGTAATTCAGGATAATTCCACACAGGACAAATTTTATGAACAGAAGCAAAAACTAAAACACCATGAAAACCTTTATCTGTGGACTTTCCAAAAACGCAGACGAGACATTCTTCAACACTAAGAGCATGGATATTTAGCAAGGCAATGTTCGAGCTGACAAGACTATTTTTGATGAGCGGCAACGATGGGAATTCTGCATATGTGTTTCCCCGGAATTTCTGCTATGACTGTACTGATGCTCATGAGTAATCATACACATTTCTTAACACTTTAAATTATTTTTACATATAATCCATGGCTTGGCATGCCTCTTAAACTGATTTTATAAACAGGTCTGTTTTATGATCAAATCACACTAGTAATATTTAATGGAATTTTTTTTTATAATTATCAGCAGCAGTATTAGGAGTATTCAACTTGAACTTCAAACACAACTTTACCAATTAATTCTACAATTAAACCTTACATTTAAATAAAAATGGGATTAATCAATGGATTAACAATTAATTAAATACTGCACATTAATTATGACATTCTAGTTTTGTAATTAAATTAACCACACAAAAAAGCCCTATAATGAAGAGAACTGTGGCCGATGAAAAGCATGGAATTGACATTAAAAAAATGGCTTTGAAGTCAATATATTATTTATGTCCATGTCATTGAACATCATTGGTCTATTGTCCACAGCCTCATTATACAGTCAAAAACAATGTGGTACTATAAGCTTGAATTGCTCTGGAGGTAGGAAATTACAGCATTTACATACAAATTAGAAGAAATTATTAACTAATAATTTTTTAGTCTTACTTTTTTTATAATTAATCCCATTAAATTGACAAAACTAGTTCAGACGTTATTACGTTAAAGATCTTTGATTTTGAATACGTTCTGGTTCCAGTCCAATATGCAACATATTATTTGTCATCCATATTCTTCTTCTTTATTTATGCTTTACACCAGTGCACATTAGCCACTATCTGAGAGTGACGGTGGGGGAAAAATGCAAAACCAATGTTTGAGTGCTGTATGATTATGTAAATCACAGAACTGATGAATATGGAAGACCTCTCCATGTAAGAGGACAGAGTGAATCTCAAACACTTTAGTTAAAAGCCAGAGACGAGAACTAAATATAAAAGCAAATAGAAATGTCTGAAATCATATTCCTCTCACTCCCTAAAAAGACAAATGAAGGCAGGTGAACAAAGCAGTATTGTTGTTAACATTTCTGTCATAATCGAATCGGATTTAATATCATTATGGCTCCAGTTTTTCCCATTCTGATATGGAACAGCCACTTCTCACAATTTAAACAATTTCTGATGGATACAATTAGGTTAAAGTCCTAAATATTTTTCTTACTGAAATTTCAGAGCTATATGTTTATGTTAATATTTTGAAAGCTGTTAAAAATAGTTTACAATGTATTTTACTTGGCATGTCAATTTTAAAAGTTTTTTTAAGGAACCAAAATGTGTAAAGAGGGGCTAGATTAATTACAATAATTGATGTAATTTATAAAGAAAAGTGGTTTTATTTATAAAAATAAAATAAAATAAAATAAGAAATGGAACTAAAAAATGAAATGTAATATTTAAAATAAAATTAAATAAAATAGTGAGACAAGAAGTTTAAATCAAAGTTAAAATACAATAAAATATTAAATTAAATAAAACTTTAAATCTAACATTTAAAATCAAATCAAATAAAATAGTAAGACATGAAGTTAAATCAAAGTTAAAATACAATAAAATATTAAATGAAATAAAACAGTAAATCTAACATTTCAAATCAACTCAAATCAAATAGGAAATGTGAAGTTAAATCAAATTTAAAAGTAATAAAGTAATTCAGGATAATTCCACACAGGACAAATCTTATGAACAGAAGCAAAAACTAAAACACCATGAAAACCTTTATCTGTGGACTTTCCAAAAACAGCAGACATTTGAACAACATTAGATAAACAAAATTTCACAAACAGCTGAAATTCACTGATGTCCTGAGTCAAGATTGTCATTCATCATGATACATTATGCTCAATATTCACTAATGCTAATGCCTACACTAGCTATGGACTTCAACGACCAAATGTTCACATCTAAAAATGAAACTGCACTTCAAATTGAACTAAAACCAGTCAGGACAGCACTGGGGTTTCATCTTGTCTAGCTGAAATGTCTCTGAGGATGATACCGATAGGTAGATTTCCGTTTTTTCACTACAATTCGAAGGCCACACCATCTGAAGCAGGCCGGTGTATTTGTGTATGTGTTTATATGTCCATACTTGTTTCTCAGGACGGAGTGAGTCCTGGGCTGGTCATGTCTGTTGTTGGACTGGCCAGATACTCGCTGGACTTCAGACTGGCCAGAGATTTGTAACTGGCCATTGAGGTTAAGGAACCACACAGACCCCTCAGAGACGGAGTATCCTCTTTCCCTGTGAACACACAAGCACACATGCACACAGTAGTATCACTGATGTCCTTTCACACATGAGCGAGGATGATGTTATTAAACAGACAAAAGGCAGAGCAGTAGACACAACATCTGAGCAATAGATGGAGCAATAGTTGTTGTTTTTAATTCAAAATAAAACTATTCAAAATTGAGTTGAGTAATTAAAATCAAGCTAAAATGTAAGTGTTAGATGAAAACTAATAGTTACCAAGGCAACATTTCTAATTTTTACGTTTTTCAAATACTAAAATTACTCAAATATAATAAAACTGCATTAAAGCTACATAAAAAAGGGGAACACAATAAAAAAAGCACATAAAATGACTAAAACCTAAACTGTTATTATACTGAAAATATAAATATACAAGCTTATTCAAAATAATAATTAATAAATACTTTAATCGAATATAAATAATACTAAAATAGCTCTAGAGATATTCTCAACCTGACTGTTAAATGATGAATGTTGACAAGTGAACAAACCAAAATCAATTATCAACTGTGATTTAAGCACTTTTTTAAAAACACTATTTAATCATATTTTGCATATTTTTTGCATATTTTGTTTTTGTATTGTATTATTTACATTTTGTCACTCTTTTCAGTTCTCGTTACTGCAAAAATGTCATTATTAATTAGAAAAAATTATTTATACAAGATTTAAGTGTTTTATACATTAGTTTATAGTTGTACTGCCTTTATGCTAATTTGCATTTTTGAGAAGATTTTTTTTAATTGAAACTCCAAACTACATAAATTCTTAATTGTCTTAAAATATGCCTCATTTCCTTTGAGAAAAATGTCATTTCCCATTTTTCTTCTTTTTATTGTGGGGGGTTTCGTGAGATTAACACAAATATTGAGTTACTCAGGTGGAGTAAGGACCCTTCCATTGTGAAATTACATCATCTATAATAGAGCTGGTTATCAGAGAATGAAGTCACCATAGCGGACACACACACACATGCATCACAAACCTTCTCTGTGCCAGTGTGTAAGTCCTGCCTTGCTGTCCAGACTGGGACTTCAGACTGGCCAGAGATTTGTAACTGGCCATTGAGGTTAAGGAACCACACAGACCCCTCAGAGACGGAGTATCCTCTTTCCCTGTGAACACACAAGCACACATGCACACAGTAGTATCACTGATGTCCTTTCACACATGAGCGAGGATGATGTTATTAAACAGACAAAAGGCAGAGCAGTAGACACAACATCTGAGCAATAGATGGAGCAATAGTTGTTGTTTTTAATTCAAAATAAAACTATTCAAAATTGAGTTGAGTAATTAAAATCAAGCTAAAATGTAAGTGTTAGATGAAAACTAATAGTTACCAAGGCAACATTTCTAATTTTTACGTTTTTCAAATACTAAAATTACTCAAATATAATAAAACTGCATTAAAGCTACATAAAAAAGGGGAACACAATAAAAAAAGCACATAAAATGACTAAAACCTAAACTGTTATTATACTGAAAATATAAATATACAAGCTTATTCAAAATAATAATTAATAAATACTTTAATCGAATATAAATAATACTAAAATAGCTCTAGAGATATTCTCAACCTGACTGTTAAATGATGAATGTTGACAAGTGAACAAACCAAAATCAATTATCAACTGTGATTTAAGCACTTTTTTAAAAACACTATTTAATCATATTTTGCATATTTTTTGCATATTTTGTTTTTGTATTGTATTATTTACATTTTGTCACTCTTTTCAGTTCTCGTTACTGCAAAAATGTCATTATTAATTAGAAAAAATTATTTATACAAGATTTAAGTGTTTTATACATTAGTTTATAGTTGTACTGCCTTTATGCTAATTTGCATTTTTGAGAAGATTTTTTTTAATTGAAACTCCAAACTACATAAATTCTTAATTGTCTTAAAATATGCCTCATTTCCTTTGAGAAAAATGTCATTTCCCATTTTTCTTCTTTTTATTGTGGGGGGTTTCGTGAGATTAACACAAATATTGAGTTACTCAGGTGGAGTAAGGACCCTTCCATTGTGAAATGACATCATCTATAATAGAGCTGGTTATCAGAGAATGATGTCACCATAGCGGACACACACACACACACACATGCATCACAAACCTTCTCTGTGCCAGTGTGTAAGTCCTGCCTTGCTGTCCAGACTGTGCGTGTTCAGCTGTGCTGGCTCCAGAGACATCTGAGAGATACTCATATCTGCAGAAAGCTGCTCCAAACTCTGGAAGCTTTTCCTGTGCTCACACACAAATAAAGAACATGTACAAGTCACAAATGAAAAAAAAAAATCAATAAATCAATTGTGTGTGTGTGTGTGTGTGTGTGTGTGTGTATATATATATATATATATATATATTACAATGTGATGTCATACTAAAATTATGAAAAAAAACTATATATTACATAAATGAAAAAACTTAATATATTAATATTTCCTTAAAGGGATAGTTCACTCAAAAATGAAAATGTGATGTTTATCTGCTTACCCCCAGGGCATCCAAGATGTAGGTGACTTTGTTTCTTCAGTAGAACACGTTCTACTGAAGAAACAAAGTTACCTACATCTTGGATGCCCTGGGGGTAAGCAGATAAACATCAAATTTTCATTTTTGGATGAACTATCCCTTTAACATTTTAAAAAGTATATCTTGCTTAGGGTTAAGGTTAGGGTCTATCTAAAGTCTATCTTTTAATAATTTAGATTTATTTTTTTATTTTTTATTTTAGAACATTAAGATTTAGGACATTAAGATTTTATTTAAATTGTGACTGTATATTATGTAAATAAATACATAAAAAAATTTAATATTTAATAATATTCCTATTACTGTTATGTGAAAAAAAATATATAAAACAAGAATATTTATATATCATGATAGTATTTGTGCTGATTTCATTTATGCTGATTTACGGTACATAAAAACTATAATGCGCTAAACAATAGCATTTAAGTAATGAAAATCTAACAAGAATCACTACTGACAATAATATAAGTCTATACGCATGACAGCAATAAAAATTTGGCGAGGAAATGTGCTTAATTGTCATGAAAACAAGGTAATAAAATAATTGAAAATAACATTATATGTTTTCATCACAAACACCACTGAAGTTTGGGTTACAATTAGATCAGCCCATTTAATAACCTCTGTGGGTTATCAATACATGAGAGCAATTGCTGTAGGAAGCATGCACTGTAATGTGATTCGAGAGCTGCAGACGCGAGCTAAAACTAGAGCCTGAGAGCCTTTGCTTCCTGGATCATTCGCTGAGCACCAGCAACTTGACTGGAATCCAATATTAGATGAGTTGCGGTGTGAAGCTGCATGTATCTCATAAGGACGTGCGTAATCTGAGAGGATACATTGACGAGATACAAAAACAGAAAGCACATACTCTTCCCATGGTCCTGTGCGTTTCCTGTACAGGAGCGTATCCAAGGCAACTGCATTAGTATCCAAGGCACCAGGTGAGGGCCATTGGTTTGTCAGGTGCGAGGTAAGCTCCTGTCTGGAGCGAAGGTCATGGTTCTTCATCACCGTCCTGGAGAAACAAACATTATCATTTAAAGAGACAGTGCTAAAAAGCTGAAAAAGCAGTATATGTACTAGGGCTGCACTATCAGTTTTTTTATTCACAATCACAATTTCTGCTACTCTTGATTAATTAAATATAATTAATCTGGACACTTTTTTTTATCATGAATATCAATTTAACCATTGTGCAGCCCTAATTTATACAGCAGGAAATCAACCCGGCTTGTCTAAAATTTTACCTCCTATCACACAAACACCTGCCAAACCTTCTCCAAAATCCATCTTTATCAACAAGTCACTGATCAAAGCCTAACATCTGAAACATAGCATTCAGCATCAAATACTCTCATCCATAAACAGAGTCTTTAACCTCAGCAATTGGATTTCAAAACTGACTACTCAGCTGAAAAATCACTAATAGTGGTCTGCGAACACTCACGGACATCTGTATTGATTCGCACAGATGGTCCGTAGCAGCTGATACAGAGAAACACAAACAGCTTCGCATGTACAAAGACATACTTGTATCTACTGAGATAAACAACATATAAGCAAGTCAGCTTAAAAAGTTTATCTTTTATAACCAGATCCAAGCAGCTATTTCCAGACACAGATTTAAGACCCTGTTCTATTTCTGCAATGCAGCGAATGACCATCATGATCCAATTAAACACCCGACCATGAGCGATGTCTTTCCAGATCAAACTAGATGACTATAATGAAATACTAACTAGCATACTGCACACTGCATAATATACACTACTGTACAACAGTTTGGGGTCGGCAATATTTTTTTTATGTTTTTGAAAAAAGTCCCTTATGCTCAGCAAGGCTGCAAATATTTGATCAAACATACAGTAAAAACAGTAATATTGTGAAATATTATTACTATTTAAAAGAACTGTTTTCTATTTGAATATAGTTTAAAATGGAATTTATTTCTGTGATAGCAATGCTGAATTTTCAGCATCATTACTCCAGTCTTCAGTGTCACATGATCCTTCAGAAATCCTTCTAATATACAATTTTTGCTGTTTATATTTTTGTTAGATAGATAGATAGATAGATAGATAGATGGTTTGCAAACAAACACATTCTCCCATCAGTCTCTCCTCTAGTCTTTCATTCATGCCTCCAGTCCATCGATCAAATCCTCTCTCCGCTTACATGCTGCAATCATCTATTAACGTATTTGCGTCTGTCTCCATAGCAACCCTGCTCTGGTCGAGCTGCTGACGTCTCCTCGAGCACACGGATCTCCAGAGCTCGGTTGAACCATAAACTCCAGCTGTCTGACAGAATGAGAGGAGAAACGAATCGGAGGACTCGGGAGGCAGGAAACATTCAGACACTCTGCAGCCACGGAAAACACTAAAGATTAACCGTTCTTCTGCTACACAGCACAGAGCATAACATCAGATGATAAATGAGAACACACCGCACAGATAATTAACCTTTCCCCTCCAGCAACTGCACATTTCCATGAGCATGAATCATACTTACACAGGCAAGTTTAGCAAACAGTTGTGCCAGTTTTGTGTGCAGCATTTCAGCATGAAATACAGTGTCATATTCACTAACTAATCACAATTCATTTTAATTAGGTTCAAAATGGGCCGAGTTTGCCTTAAGTATTCACCTGCAGTTCACCTAAAAACGAAAATTCTGTAATTTATATATAGTTTGATAAATATTGGTAACCCAACAGTTGCTGGTACCTATTTACTTCCAGAGTATGGAAAAAAATATTATGTAAGTCAATGGGAACCATAAACTGTTTGGTTACTCACATTCTTCAAAATGTGTGTGTGTGTGCGCGCGTTTTTGTGACACATGAGGACACAAATTTGTATAATGACATGGGTATGACATAGGTATTACAAGGAGAAGGTGACTTATGAGGACATTACCCCATGTCCCCATTTTTCAAAACCCTTATAATGCAATAATGCATCTAATGTAATATCCTAACAGAGGTCAAGTGTACTTACAGAAAAATTGATCCAAAAGTGAAATGACAAGGTTTTAAGAGATGAGAAACATCTTGTGTAAATGTGTGTGTGTGTGCGTGTGTGTGTGTGTGTGTGTGTGTAGGGTGATAGAAAATAAAGTTTGTAAAGTATAAAAACCATTACGCCTATGGAATGTCCCCACAATTCACAAAAACAAACGTGTGTGTGTGTTTAGCAGAACAAAAAAAATCATACAGGTTTGGAACAACTTGAGGGTGAGTAAATGATGACAGAATTTTCATTTTTGGGTGAACTATCCCTTTAACACATTGTTTCTTTTTAACACATGTAATTTCTATGCAAATTAGGTAATTTATAGATCATTAAAGTTTGCATCTTATTCACAAAGTCTGCTTTTGAAAAAAGATATATTGATGATGACAATAATTCATTAAATGATGATGAAATGATAAAGAACATTATATTACATTTTTGTAGTGCTGTTATTGTTAACTAAAACTAAAAAAATAAAAATGGCTTTTGATAACTAAATAAATTTAAAATAAAATGTAAATATTAGATGAAAAACATAACTTCACAAAATACCTTGAACTTAAAGGGGTGGTTCATTGCGATTTCACTTTATTAACGTTATGTCTAATGTTGCTGTTTGAGCATAAACAATATCTGCAAAGTTACACCTGATTTGAGGGTGCCAGACTAGATTCTGGAAATATGACGCACTCAGGAGCACTGAGAATCACTGATCTAGAAAATATTCACGCTCAGTTTAACATTCAAAGTTCATCTCACATGATAGGGAAACTAGTATACTGATTACTGAATATGGCACACAGTATATATAGTTTATGATCTATATATTTTATATATGACAGTATATATTCTATACTACAGACTATTTAAAAAATGCATGTAAACAGCATGCAGCGTGACTGACTAAAAATAGAGAATTTTTAAATTTTATATAATTTTGCTTTTTTTGCGAATGAATTAGTAAAGAAAGAGATGTTAAAATTATTGGTACATTATTGACACAGTTAGGAAATATGAATACTTAAGGGAATAAAGACTTTTCATGGCAATTTTAAAATAATTTAAGAATTGAAAATTTGTTTTATTTATTTGTTTGTTTGTTTGTTTGTTTAAAAACAAACACTGCAAAGCAGTACAGTATCAGAATCAGTGTATATACTACCAATCAAAAGTATGGGGTCAGTAAATTTTTCTTTTTTTTAATAAATAAATTTCATTCAACAAGGATGCATTAAATTGACAGTAAAGTGACAGTAAAGACTTTTGCATTGTTACATAAATAAATAAATATATATATATATATATACACACACCTAGCTAACCAATCAGAGCCCATCGCGTATTTCTGAGGGCGGGGCTTCATAAAAGAAGGAAATTATCAGCCCTTTTCTCAGAGAAGGGACAGAGCGGTATGGAATAAAGGTAAATTATGTGAAAAATAATGCGTTTTTAAAAAAACGAAGCATTAACACATGTTAGACTGCACCCCATAAACATCATCAAGCCTAGAAAAAACCCCAGTGAACCACCCCTTTAACTAAAAAAAACATAAGTTTACTAAAATTAGAACTAAAATCAGTAAAACCAAAACAAAAAACAATTACAAAAAATACAAAAGCACATAACAAATTACTAAAATGTAACTGTAATTAAAATTAAAACAATATAAAAAATATAAAATACTATAAAATAAAATACGCATACATACATATATACACACACACATATATATACATACATATATATATATATATCAATAATATTTCAATAATATTCATTTGAATAATATTTCAAATAAATATTACTCTTTATATTGAATTATTCATAATAGAATTTAAAATAAAAAGACGTTTTTTTTTATTTATTTGAATTAGTAAAAATATTTTACAACACTACTGTTTTTACTGTATTTCTGATCAAATAAATGCAGCATTGGTGAGTGTAAAAGACTCATTTCAAAAACCCTAAACTTCTGAATGATAGTGTTATGCATTACAAAATGATGAATTTACACATATTTTTTTAATGCAGCATGCTCAAAAGTTGATTTGCATGCACATCAAATGAAAACCAAGAAAAGGGAAGCTCACTGTGTGCTCTGGTTGTGTACTACCCATTTTGGCAACTGCAGTAGATGTGGGTATTCTATACATACAAAAATTCAGCATACTGCACACAGTAGGCTATACATACTGCAGAAATAGTAGGATTAGTAGTCGTCCTCACCTTCTGTTCCAGCACGACTCTGTATTTCTGCTCTAGTCTTTTGCTCTTGCTGTACCAGGTGCTCTGATCGGCCATCAGACTGGCAGCCATGTGGGATTCAGGAGTGCCTGCTTCACTGCTGCTGCTGCCCAGCGTTCTCATTTCCTCCTCATCGCTGCTAATGCTGTCAGAACTACAGCACACACACATACATAATATTCAATCTCATGCATTAGGAAAGCCTAAAGCATGTTCACAAAGCCAGCATGTTTATATGTGTGTTTTTGTGTAGTGCTCTTACGTTTGTGTGAATTTAAGGTACGGTGTGTAGTCAATGATGACGGGACAGCTCTCATCAAGCCCCTCCCCTTTCAGACAGAAACTGTCAATCAAGAATGAAAATTTCAGCATAAGCCAACAAATGCACTTTATTTGATGAGAATGTCACTGTGGCAGAGTATTATGGGAAGTGATGATCCTACAAAACAATACGGAGGCTGTTCTCAGCATCTATATTTGTGTGTGTGTCTGTGTGTGTGGCTCGTGTCAGCAGGTGTTTATAGAGCACCACCCATACAATAAATCATCATCATCCTGTCCTGCAGTGGCACAGCTGAATGTCACTTCCACCCACAGAAAGGAAGTGAATGAACATGAATATACCTGAAGTCAATGGCATTCAGTCCAATCAGAGTATCTGCCAGAAGCCCCGCCTCCTCACCCAGAACTACAGCCCCCTCCTCATAGAACCTCCTGACAAACAAACACACAAAACTGATGAAGACCAGAGAACGACAATTAGCACAACTGTTTTCAGCACTGATAATAATAAATGTTTCCTGAGCGGCATATCTAAAAGATTTCTGAAGGATCATGTGGCGCTGAAGAACGGAGTAATGGCTGCTGAAAATGCAGCTTTGCCATCACATAAATAAACTGTAAAACTATTTCACAATATTACAATGAAACATTTAAAAGTCTTACCAGTCCTGCCGCCAAAGTAAAACCACCGAGTTAAACCAGACGTTGACGTACTGCTCAAATATTTTGAAAGTGCCTCAATATTTTGCTAAATAATTCATATGGTGCTGTTTTTATTTCAGTAAAATCGCTATGTTTAAACAATCTGTGCTGTGGAGAGGCTGACAACAGAGAGAGACCCATAAAAAGATTTTACCACAATCAACCTGCAATCAAATATAAGAGTCTCAGTGTGTGTCTGAGGGCTGTGGAAAGTCACCTTGTAGTTTTGAAGTCTCTCAGAGCTGCAGAGATATATTCAGACAAACGCTTCTCCATTAACGCCACTCTCATCCAGGCACGACCCTGAGGGAAAGAACGAGAGAGGGATGCTCTTACCTGTCAACCACTAAAGCCTTTAACACTGACGTAACATCACAGCAATTGAGCTGGCAATCTGTCTTAGCTGACCGTTTGTGATCGAATCATCCGAGGCGGATGACAATACTAGATTTAAACAGGACAAGTCTGATCTGAGAGTTTCCTCTATCACAAAATATCCCCTTTATATTTTGTGATAGCATGGTGAAATATGACACCAAACCAGTTATTGTTGTAAACCTGTTGTTATTGTTATCTAAAACTAAATCTATTAAAAACTATTTCCCGTAATTAACAATAAAAAATATGAAATTCAAAAATACAGAGACATCTAATAAAATATATAAAAATATTAAGTAAAAAAAATATGTTTTAAATGTTGCATTGGCAACTTACTAAAATAAAATGAATTACTAAAATTACTGAAACTAAAACTGAAATGAATATGAATTAGGTAATTAGGTAAATAAAAATATTAAAACGTCATAAAAATAGCAAAAGCACATGAAGGTTCTAAAACGTAAACTAAAATTAACACGAAAAGTTAAATGAAAATTTGTTTTAATTAAAATAAAAAAATTTGAAATGTTGCATTAGCAATTAACTGAAATTAAATAATTCGAAGTACTAAAATTACTAAAACTTAAATAAATATGCATTAAAGCTAATATAAATAAAACATAAATTAAAGCTAAATACATTTTTTTTAAATAATAAAAATGACAAAGGCATATAACAGAATTGCTAAAACTTAAACCAAATTTTAAATATAAACGAAGATATAAAAAAGTTAATTCAATATGTGACCCTGGAGCACAAAACCAGTCTTAAGTCGTTGGGGTATATTTGAAGCAATTGCCAAAAATATATTGTATGGGTCAAAATTATTGATTTTTTTTTTATGCCAAAAATCATTAGGATATTAAGTAAAGATCATGTTCCATGAAGATATTTTGTAAATTTCCTACTGTAAATATATTCAAACTTAATTTTTGATTAGTAATATGCATAGCTAAGAACTTCATTTGGACAACTTTAAAGGCGATTTTCTCAATATTTTGATTTTTTTGCACCCTCAGATTCCAGATTTTCAAATAGTTGTATCTCGGCCAAATATTATTCAGCTCTAAAAGCTTATTTATTCAGCTTTCAGATGATGTATAAATCTAAATTTTGAAAAATTGACCCTTATGACTGGTTTTGTGGTCCAGGGTCACATATAATAATAAATACTATAACTGTATATAAATAATACTAAATGACACTGCAACACAGACGTATGTGTCCGTCCTGACCTTTGCTCTAGAGCTGCGGACGTTCTCCATGTTCTCGATGCTGTGGATGCAGCTGTGCGGGACTTTACTACACGCTATACGTATGTAATCCCAGAAACTGCGCGGGCTCTCATAGCCAAACCAGCTGACCTGACCTACAGCAGGAAAACACACACAATGCAGTATAAAAGCAGTTTGAGTCCTCAAGAAGAGCTCTGTACTATTCATTCAGATGCAAGACTCTTCTAGAAAGAGTTCTCTCTTTTTTTTTTGCATCCAGTTGTGCTACGTTTTAGTGCAGTGACATTGTGGGCAAATATCTGAGCTAGTAATTGAAAGCGTTGAATCCGACAAGTGACGAGCTCTGCGGGGATTTCTTGCTTTTTAAGCGGTTTCAGAGAACATACATAAACATGGAGAGATCAAATATTGCTGAAAGGCTGAAAAACAGCGATATGTAAGTGAGCGTGAGAGCTGTGTTGTCATGCTGTGAGAGTCGTCGGAGCTCTTCGAACCCAAAATGAGACACTCAGTGCTGTATTTATACCTCATTACAGCAGCTGGATTGTGTGTGTGTGTGTAGGTCTTTTAGCAGCATGTATCACAGCATCGCTATGTAATGGTGTGTGAAGCTTCTGGCATAGCTCACTTCAACAGTTATTCTGAGTGCGTGTGTCAGTTCATTTGTTCTCTAAGGCTCTGTCAGTTGTATGTTGTTGTTTTTTGTATTATATGCATAATATATTATATATATAAACAATTGATATATTTCTAAAAATAAATAAATAAATACATAAAACACTGGTAATTTAGTTTAATGACCACCCTCTCTCTAAGAATGCAACAGGCTGTTTTTTTTCTAAAGTACATTAAAATTTAAATGCCCTATTCACATATTAAATAATACAGGTGTTTTGCTGTGCTCACACACGTTGAGGATTTATTATCAAATCCAGGTCAATTTGCTAAAAATGTGCTGCTCAGATCAAATGCAGTTTACAATTTCAAAGTGAAACAGGACAGTATGTGTGTTTTTTTCCTCACCTTTCAGTCTATGGCTGAGAATATGTTCTAGAATGGAGACAAAGTTGATGAACTCAGCAGATGTGTCGTCTATCGTCTCAAAGCATGAGCGATCAATGAGGGTCTTCACTGAGAACCTGTATACTCAAACACACACAATCACAATCATGAGCACAAAGAAATCTACACAATACAGTTTAAAAACACAAACATTTCTAATAGCTTGTACAGTAAAGCACTGACAAGCTTTAGTTATACAAATAATTAACATAATTATGCTGCCTTCTAAGATTTGGTCATATTTTAATGCATCTCCTAATGCATTAAATATCATTAAATTTTTTTAATTTTATATTTATATTTTATTTCAGTTCAACATTATTATATATAACAAAAAAGATTTTAATACTTTTAGTTTTAGTTAACAATAACTATGCTGCTATTTGGACACAAAAAAAAAAACCTCAGAAAACTCAGCAAGGAGACAAATAGATGTCTAATTCAGAGCTAAAATAAGCGGAGTCTTCTGTAAAACCCTAAACTAAAGCTTTTTTAAAAACCCTAAAAGAGCATTTGAGAGTCAAAGGAGATGTCTTGTGTTTTGTGGAGCGCCATTAGTGCCGTTTATTATGGTCTCATCAAATGTAATTATGGCATAAATGACTGTCCTTTTCATTATCGGCAGCTCCTGTGCTTTTGTGTGTCTCCTCATGACTTCCAAATACCCAGCAGCCTTCATGCAAATGTCATTTCAGAGATAATTTCACTTCTGACATTTCCTTTCTAAAACACACAGAGCAAATGTGGGGGAAAAAAGAATAAAGTTTGAAAGTAATGGTTAAATATCATGTTAAGTAACTTAAAACTCAAAACTAGTATGAAATGCACATCAGCATTATATGCCAAGGATTTGCAAGCATCCTAAAGTTTGTGTGTGTATTTTTTGGGACGTTAAAATACACCCTCTTATGCCTAAAACTATTCAAAATAATTTTGGTAATTGAAATAAATCTAAATAAATATGTTAGGTTAAAGTATATAAGTAAGTATAGGTTGAAAAAAAAAAAAGATAAATGTTATCTTGTCAGCTAACTGAAGTAAATAAGCAAAAAAATTACTAAAACCTAAAAATAAATTAAAGGTAAATAAAAAAAATGTAAAAAATGACAAAAGCACAGAATAAAATTCCTATAACATAAACGAAGATTAAAATGAGAACTAACGATATAAAAGTTAATTCAAAATATTAATAAATAGTATAACAGTATATAAATCATACTAAAATAACACTTACAGTAAGTATGATCATGTAATAATGAGGTCATGTGGCACCAATTATCATATTACTGCTTGAATTGTTCAGAGATACACAGTATTTTATGGCACAAATAGAGATGCGAAGTTACTTTAAAATAGCCTGATGAAAGGTCACACCGACGATATTAAATCTGATACTGATAAAACCATCTCCAAAAATTTAATTTCTGAAGAAGCCATCCTGTCACATCTCACGTAGATTAAACCAGCCTGACATTTCAGTTGAGAAGGTCCCAAATTCTCTGGACTTCTTTGAAGTGATCATTTTAGGAGCATTGATCTAGAGCAGTTATTCAGATTACAATCTTCATTCAAGACTTTCTGACAAATACTGAACGTTCTTTCATGATTCTCTGAATGTCACAGACTGTGCTATCACTCAAAAACAAAAAGACCCGCAGTGATTTATTTCAGTCCTGAATGAACTCTGGATCAGATATCACAGGATAAACATGAGAGGAAATGGATTTTGCTTATCTGTTCCTCTGTTCTTTCTACCTCAGACACACACAGTAAAAATCGCTGTATTTGTCTGAGCCATGAGCTTCGGTCTTACTGTGATTGTAAATGTGTGGACACGTCACACTTGAAGCTTTTTGATTGGCTGATTCCTGCTGTGCCTCCTCATGGGTATGACATTCATATGTGTTCAGACAGATGCTTTTCCTGCTTCAAACGTGGCCTTTGTGGCACGGACTAATTAGACATATTAATGTAATTAATCATATTCCAGTGAGTGGCACGAAAAGTACATTCAGTTTTACTTAAAATGTGAATCCGTCAACGCTTTATTACGTTGCTTCTTGAGCATTTCACAAGACTTTCAAAGTGAAATGTCCAGTGAATGGCACAAAAGTGTGTTCAGTTTTATCCACAAAAAAAAAATCAAAGCTGTATTAAACCTTGGGTTTGACCACCTACACTAAACTGTACACTAAACCTAACTGATAGTGTTAACAAAAGCAAACATTAGATAAAAACACCATGCTATTTTATCTTGATTCCACAAGTCTTTGATCAAACATTAGATAAAACGCATTTGCTAAAGGAACCATGCCATTTTAGCTCGATTCCCCAAGTCCTTGAACTATTTTATCATGATTCATGATTCACAGGACTTGCCTCGCAAGTGCAATGCTGTACCAGGTGGGCTGCTGAGCAAGTTTACTATATCAGAAATGCAATTGAGTTGGTCATGTGATGCAGACATAAAAATGTATTAGTTCAAAAATCATAGTTTATAAAAAAATTTAAGTAGAGGCATGTTTTTCCAGTGAGCCTAAGTTGCATATTTTGCATTGTATATTGTAGCATGTGGAAAAAACACATTGTATGCAACAATAAATGGTAGCACACAGCAAACTTTTATCAGAAAATAAGTTGATATCTCTTCTGATTCATTGGTCACACTAAATAGAAGGTCAAATTGAGTGTGCTGCATTTTGGGATACAGTGCCCAGTGCAGTGTGATCCGGTTGTATACTGCACATTTTGGCAGATGTAAGGTAAAACAACATGTACTGTATCCACTTCAGCAAAGAGATACTACAATTCTCAGCAATACATTATGTGACACAGAATGGGTCACAAAGTTCTCAAGGTATTGCGTATTATTCATTCCCTAGTTAAAATCCTTACTCATAACCAGTTATAAGACACAAGCTTTTCTAATATAAAAACAAACATCTAAAATAAAAACTGCCATTAAATGGTGTAAAAATATTCATATGGACTATCTGCTTTTTTTATTATGTCCAAACGTTGTCTTTGTTTTTTTGATGAGTGCCATGATCCTACCATACCTTTTTCTTTTTTTAAAACATACCATAGAAAATCATTTTTTGACATGCCTTCTTTTAAGTAGCTCGGAGCACAATGTAAATGCCATGTTGCATGAATCATTCAGTAGCTGTACTTTTTCTAAGGACTCCATCTATATGACGTGATGCTGTGATGACAGATCTCAGATCAGCGCCTCTGTGTGCAGTACATCATCTCATCTCCCCGGCTCCAGCATCAGCATTTTACAAAAACTAAACGTGCTAAAAAAAATAACAGTGACATCATCATCATCACACATGTTCCGCGCGCCGGTGTGCTGCAGTGATGATGAATGTGTAATCAGATTTTACCTGCACACGGTGATCAGATTTCTCCTCTCTACGGCTCTGATACGCGCTGCCGCTTTTTTACGAGCCCCGTTGAACCCGAGGTTTAACGATGCCATGATAGCTGTTTATTTCCTCGCGTCTTTTTCTCTTCTGATGCTTTGGACCAGTCTCCAGCTGACTGACTCTCACCGGAGCCATAGAAATGGAATAAGCGAGTGGAAAGGCAATTAGCATGATATGGGTATAGAAAATGGGCGTGGTTTGGGAGTTTTTTTTTTAAAATAATTGTCTTATTTTAACTCTTCGTTTGAGTTTTTATTTTATTTTAATGTCATTAAAAATGTATCTGTTATTTTTTCAGGCGTAATTTACCATCAACATTGCATCTGAAGAGGACAGCGTTGTCATATGCTCTCTGTTACTTTTCTCAGCGCTGGTTAGGATTAACCAATCACAGATTACTAAACAACGATTTGGAAAATCCGTTTTATAGATATCGATGAGGTAGATATCCATTTTCCTGGTAGAAAACAATCATTGTATGTAACAGATTTAACCGATTACATATATTGGTGTACACATGTTTCCAATAAGACAAACGCCGTGAGAGGTGAAGTGGCTTCAGTGAAGGAATTGTCTTTCAGAGCCAAAATGTATATTGTAGCATGTGGAAAAAACACATTGTATGCAACAATAAATGGTAGCACACAGCAAACTTTTATCAGAAAATAAGTTGATATCTCTTCTGATTCATTGGTCACACTAAATAGAAGGTCAAATTGAGTGTGCTGCATTTTGGGATACAGTGCCCAGTGCAGTGTGATCCGGTTGTATACTGCACATTTTGGCAGATGTAAGGTAAAACAACATGTACTGTATCGACTTCAGCAAAGAGATACTACAATTCTCAGCAATACATTATGTGACACAGAATGGGTCACAAAGTTCTCAAGGTATTGCGTATTATTCATTCCCTAGTTAAAATCCTTACTCATAACCAGTTATAAGACACAAGCTTTTCTAATATAAAAACAAACATCTAAAATAAAAACTGCCATTAAATGGTGTAAAAATATTCATATGGACTATCTGCTTTTTTTATTATGTCCAAACGTTGTCTTTGTTTTTTTGATGAGTGCCATGATCCTACCATACCTTTTTCTTTTTTTAAAACATACCATAGAAAATCATTTTTTGACATGCCTTCTTTTAAGTAGCTCGGAGCACAATGTAAATGCCATGTTGCATGAATCATTCAGTAGCTGTACTTTTTCTAAGGACTCCATCTATATGACGTGATGCTGTGATGACAGATCTCAGATCAGCGCTTCTGTGTGCAGTACATCATCTCATCTCCCCGGCTCCAGCATCAGCATTTTACAAAAACTAAACGTGCTAAAAAAAATAACAGTGACATCATCATCATCACACATGTTCCGCGCGCCGGTGTGCTGCAGTGATGATGAATGTGTAATCAGATTTTACCTGCACACGGTGATCAGATTTCTCCTCTCTACGGCTCTGATACGCGCTGCCGCTTTTTTACGAGCCCCGTTGAACCCGAGGTTTAACGATGCCATGATAGCTGTTTATTTCCTCGCGTCTTTTTCTCTTCTGATGCTTTGGACCAGTCTCCAGCTGACTGACTCTCACCGGAGCCATAGAAATGGAATAAGCGAGTGGAAAGGCAATTAGCATGATATGGGTATAGAAAATGGGCGTGGTTTGGGAGTTTTTTTTTTAAATAATTGTCTTATTTTAACTCTTCGTTTGAGTTTTTTTTTATTTTAATGTAATTAAAAATGTATCTGTTATTTTTTCAGGCGTAATTTACCATCAACATTGCATCTGAAGAGGACAGCGTTGTCATATGCTCTCTGTTACTTTTCTCAGCGCTGGTTAGGATTAACCAATCACAGATTACTAAACAACGATTTGGAAAATCCGTTTTATAGATATCGATGAGGTAGATATCCATTTTCCTGGTAGAAAACAATCATTGTATGTAACAGATTTAACCGATTACATATATTGGTGTACACATGTTTCCAATAAGACAAACGCCGTGAGAGGTGAAGTGGCTTCAGTGAAGGAATTGTCTTTCAGAGCCAAAATGCGACCCCTGCAGGACGATTATTCTGTGCCTCATAAGAAACTAGCTGATAAGATAACACTGGCCGCCCATGGCTGATCAAAAACCCTGACGTTCATTATGGAGCGTTTTGGAGGTATATAATGCGCCGTTTACATAACCAGTAAAAAGAGTTTCTAGTTGTCATGAGAAATACCATCTACTGGTAATAGTGTTGTTATTAAGGATTTTATCAGATTCATGACAGGTGTAATTTACTACTCCCCACTAGGTGGCCCCAAGGTACTTGTTCAATTTGAGAACAGCAAACAAAAGAAAGGGGAAAAAGCAACATTTCACAGCTATGATCAAATAAATATTAATTCCGCATTCACAAAGCACGATGACTTAACTTTAAACCTAACTGTAAAATATTCACTTCTGATTTACTTTACTCATCACTTCGAAGAATCTCCTCCAATAGAAAAGCCTTAAAAACATCCAATATAATAGAAAAATTCATAAATAAGTTGCAACTTTTATGATTGTAAAATGATCTATTTTTTTTACTTATTTAATTACTTATTTAATTTTGACAGTATCCCCCACATGTTCATGTTCTGATGTTTATCTGCAACTTTCTGATATTGTTCATAATAATAAAAAAAAAGATCAAATTAATATATGAAAAATAAACTGAAAATACTTTTAGGATATTTTATCTTCTATAAAATTATTTATTTTTGTTTGTTTGTTTGCCTCTTGTTGTTTTTGTACACAGCCAGAACAGACTCAATAGTACATAACTAGGAAAGACAAGCACCAAATAAAACATAAATAAATATATAAAATATAAATATCAACATCTTGACAAAATATATTGCATCATTTAACAAAATTTTTAAAAAAAAGGCAGCACAGGTTTAACATTTTAAGTGTTTTGGAGTTCTAGTATGCAATAGGCCCTATATGTGTAATATGCACTTTTTAGTTGACATCTTCCTGCAGCTCTACAGCATCTAGTCATATTTGCATATAAAACACTGACCCTTTTTCTGACATTTGTACACGAAATAATCATTTTTGTTTAAAAAATATATAGCAAGAACTAGATAAAATAAACTAGCATTTGTAAGGTTTTGTGAAAGAGCAATTTCAACTCAAATGGTGTTAGATGAGACACACAATTCAGGTCATGGAGCCTCTAATAATGAGATGATGAGTTGAATTAGATGCGTTAGAGGAGGAAGACATCTCAATGTGCCGTGCCTCAGGGCCCCCAGAAGCAGGATTTGAGAATTACTGTGGTAGAGGAAAAAGGAAACACTGTCATGAGTCATAAGCTTTTTCAGGCATTTTTCTGCGAGCATATACAGGTTTTAGATAAATCCAAAGACAAAGTGTGTAAGTGCAGACATATAAACAAGTAGGCTAGTAGTCAAACAGTCCATCTTTGCAGTGCATTCAGCAAAACAAACCTAAAATAAGCAAATAAGATTATAGAAATCAAGTCCTATCAGACTAACCCTTACCAAAAAGTAGTATACTTTTTGGTACTAGTAGTATACTAAAATTTACTAATTAAATACTTGTAGTAGCATTTTTAGTACACTTTGAAGTATAGTCTATAATATAGTTTATATAATTTATAGTTTATAAAAGTATACTTTCCTATTTTTAGTTTAAAAGAAGTATACTAATAGCACACTTGAATAAACTTCTTTTTCGTAAGGGAACTGCTAATAGAATGAAAATTAGCCTGTGTTTTACTTACCCTCAAGCCATCCTAGGTGTAGCCTATATGACTTTCTTCTTTCAGACGAATCCAGTCAGAGTTAATATTGATATTATGGAGTTGATATTAAAAATTGTCCTGGCTCTTCTAAGCTCTTATCATTGTAGTGGGCGGGTGTTTCTCTTTAACAGTCCAAAACACGTTAAATAAAGCAGCGCATCCATAATAAAACGTGCCTCACATGGCTCCAGGGGGTGAATGGAGGCCTCCTGTAGCGAATCCAGGCGTTTTTGTCAGAAAAATATCCATATTTCAAACATAATAAACACTTTTCTATGTCTTCCGCTATCTGTCATACGCGGAAGCCGTTCGCGATTGGATTCGTCTGAAAGAGGAAAGTTATATACACCTAGGATGCCTCGAGGGTGAGTAAAACACAGGCTAATTTTCATTTTTGGGTGAACTAACCCTTTAAAGTTATTCGAGACTAAATGTACATGTAGGTAACTGAACATGGATACAGATAATCAGAATTCTAATTTCGCCCCCTAGAGGTGTTTAGGATGATCTGCAGGTGTTTGAAAGTAGTAACCAAACTATTTTAACACCTTTCAAATAGTGAGCAACAAAAAAGGATACACGAAAAAGAAGGAAATGAGGGATATTAAAAAACGCCCAAATTAATAAATAGAAACAAATCCCTACAACTGACAACATTGCTATTTTGCTCTTTGAGATGCCTTGAAATTAGTTTTAGAGGAAATGCAACTTTATTGTTGTTGTTGTTGTTACTATATTTACTACTAATAACCTACTATTTTCTTCTCTTCTTTCCCCAGAGCAAATAGCCTACTTATTTATTTGCTCTGGGGAAAGAAAATTTTATTTATTTATTTAGAAAGAAGATATTATTGAGATATTATTTAGAAGATATTTATTTAGAAAGAAGATACTTATTTATTATTTATTTATCACACGATAGCCTAGCTGACGTCATCACTGAACGACACACCGATTCACGCAATTCGATTTTTTTATATTGACGGTCAAGTTCACAACACCGGAATTGAATTCGAATTCGATTCTTCTTTACTCCGGGTTGTGTAAACACATATGATTCTCTGGAAACTTGACGGCAATATTCCGGTATCAACGCCCAGCGTGAAAGTGAACGTAAAGTGAAGTGAGAGGTCAAGTCAAGTGCTTAGAGAGGGAACATCACGTCTGTGGGCGTGGGAGCTCCATCAGTCTGCGTCAGTGAGGTGTGCTGCACATTTGGACAAAGTTCTGCCTAAAACTAATTAATTTGTTACAATTACAGTGTAATTTGTTGTATATGGTTGGCTCAGTATGATAAAGCTAGTGTAAATACCAGTATTCAT